CTCTTCCGAAATCAATTAATTTACACTACATTCGATACTCGTTCATCGTGCATAGAGAAATATATATTAAGGTTATTATTTATTATTGATACCAGTGATTATATAAAATTCAAGTTTAAAAATCCGCATTTAACTTATCATTCGTACTTATACAGCTCGAATAGATTCATTTACAATACATATTGACCAATGAATTTAGATTTATAAATATTTATATATTATTATATAATATAGATAAGAGGTTTGTGTTTTTGTGCGTTTGTATACCCGGGCGTGCGAATGAGTGGAAATAACGCGTTCTTTAGAAATAAATAAATATCAATATAATAAAATGTCAAGTTTATTCTATTGTAACAAATGAGATATTATTTTATGATAAGAAGCTTATTATGATAAATGAAAAATATTACTTCAGAATTAATATTTTATGTTTCTATTCTATCTAAACTAGACCTAATTATAAAATAAAATTATAAAATAAATTAATCGCGCAACTTTAGAAAGTTTTATTACATAATTTATTTTATAGTAAAAAAATTATAATAAAAATTTGTTTAAATAATCACCCGCGATCTTTATTATAAAAGCTTACATATGTGATTTGTAATCTTAAAAATAATATAGTAAGCAATTATAAATAGATAAATTAAAATTATAATTTGGGTCGTTCAATTTAGTAAATAAAGATTTTTTCGATAATATATTATATATATACAATTATGTACATATATAGATAGATAATGTATGTTATAATATATAATATAATATATAGTATTTAGTAAAAATTTTATATATCTGAATATTTAAATTAATATTGTCCAAATAAAAGTTCCTTATCGATTGAAATTGTACGAAAATTATATTAAATTATGGTATTGAATTATATAAAAATTGATATTGAATAAGAAGTATCGATGAAAACTTCCGTATTAAAAACTCCGACTGTATTGGAGAGAGTGAGTGAGAGAGAGAGAGAGAGAGAGACTATTTTGATACCAATATCAAATAAATACCTTAAAGTATTACGATCCGCTTTCATACTGATATCACCCAATCCATACATTACTTTTCAACAAAACTTATTTTTAAATACTAAAATCATAGCGAAACGATTTGTTTTATCCAAATATTATAATATTCATCGTTCTACATACTTCACGTACATTAATCCTTATATCTATATTCAGAAAATTACTTTTTCTATAATTTAGAATAGTTCTCATTTCATAAAAAAACACTTTATCTATATTTTGTATGTCTAGCAATCATTTTTTGAGCGCTCGTAATTACAAAATACATGAACATATTTTTCATAAAAATTACTTTTCTTTATTAATTTTCCAATAAGTGAAAGTAAACAGACGTTCATAAGTAAATGTAATATATTTGAGTAGAAATAATAAATATTTACAACTTTATTTTCCTTCCTATTACCCCTAAAATTTAAAAATATTATTTAGGGTTTTGCTCCTGTTAAATGTCTCGTGTCGTTTAATGCAGCCTGAGACTTATTATTAAAATATATTTAAATAATTATTATTCTATAAACTGCTATTATATAATAATTGTATCAAACATAAATTTTAGAGCATAATAATGTTTGCAATTTACTAGCAAATTCTAATATTCAATGTA